ATAAAATTTTTTGTTTGGTGAAAGTGTACACAAAAAGTAAGATTACTCTTGGGACCGTGTGGCCCGCTGGTGGGCCACAGACAGAGCCCGCGAAAAATGCGCTCGGTCCCACACGCCAGACACGCCAAAAAGGCACGGTCGCCAATGGGTTAACTCTGCTTATTGGCGGCCGCGTAGCGTTCGAGCACTTTATTCTAAGGTGGTTACTAATTGTAAGAAGTGACTTTCTACGATCAATGGGCTGTTAAACTATAGTTTGGTAATGTATATCTCTTTTCCTGCATGCTTCCACGTTCATATTCCTTCCAAGACCACTGATGTGTACCTCCCCTAGTGAATGACTATCGATCAATGTATGATTATATGTTTCCTTTTCTGTTGCATGCTTCTTGGTTTGTGTTTTTTTTGAGGCAACTGCTGAGTAATTATTTTCACTGATAGAAGCCTGGTTAAGGGGTACGCCAACCTTCTGTACGATTGATTGATTCAACTCATCCAATTGAAAGAGGCTATAGATGACGACTAATTCAAGCCTAAGAGAGGTTTGAAGATTATCCACACGTTGTGTGTAACATCCAGCGACTGTGCAGAAAACAGAAAAGCTGATTAGATGGAGAGTGAAACAGGGTCAGAGCTTGAGGGCGCGGGGCGATCTTAATTAGGTGCGGAAACTCCGCGATCATTGCGCTGCCCGCATATCGATATGCAGCAAGTCAAAGTTATTGAACGAAGAGAATAACAGCAGTGAAAAATCGAACCTTCAATAAAAAACGTTTCTAAGCAGAAAACTTCCTATTATAACTGGCTAAGAGTGTCTGTCGAACTTGTGCAAAAAAAAAAACAGCGGAGTCGCGGTTCATAGCTCTGTAGAATACCGCTTCATTTCGCATTTCACACCCTGCGGGACGTTCTCTCATGTCGTCTTCAGCTGAAGGAAGTTCTCCTGCTTTTTTCGAGCCCTGAGACCTTTTACTTGACCCTCGAGTTTTTTCTATAGATGTTCGATGGGATTCAGATCGGGGGACTACGACGGAAACGTCAGCAGAGGAACTTTGTTGTCGCGGATCCACTTAGTGAGCAACTTCGATTAGTGTTTCGGGTCGTTGTCCTGTTGGAAAATGAAGCCACTGCGAACAAGCCGTTAGATAACAGTCTCCATATACTGAGGCTCATCTTCGAATCCATCTTATCCACGTTCCGGTGAAGGGGACCAACTCCTTCGCCACAGAAGCTGCCGTGAACCATCACCGAACCTCAGTTACCCTTCACGGTCGGCAGCTGGTAACTTGGGTGGTATCCAGTACCGACAGGACATCGTACAAACT